GTTTATGCTCAAACAGCAACATTACACACTAACGTTAAAAAAGTGAAATTGCAATGAACCACCCCTTTAAATATCCTGCAGATACCCTCGTCTGGCAAAAACCATCAATTCATGTTTTTAGGTATATAATTGTCCAGACCTTGTCTAGTGAGGAGGGTTCATTACTGGACCTCAAGCAATTTTAGTTGAAGACCCCTGGTCTATAAGAATGTGTATGTGCACAGATGCATAGTGTTTTTTTGTTTTTTTTTACAAAGTAACAGCCCCAACTACTGGCCTGGCCTGCATAATACAGCGTTTTTGTTGTTTTTGCAGATCTGTGTGAACGGAGTTATTTGGACAGCATTGCCGCTTGCAATGCGAAACCTTTCAAAAATGCAAAAGAAAAAACGTTTCAGTTTGTAGTACATTGTTGTCATGTAAAACGTACACTTAGAATGATTATTTAACTTTTTAGTTATCATTATAGTTGTTTTCATTGGTGTGAATGGACTTTAAGCTCAGAAACATACGCTAAAAAAGCACACAATTGCAAACGGTAACTATGCAACTTTACAACTAGTATGTGTTGCATCGGCATAGTATGCTAAAGCATTGATGTTAGCAACTGTGTACTTGTATAGAGTATGTTTCTGGTCCGCTAGCCGCTTGGATGAGAGCTGGAGAAGAGCTGAAGGTACGAGTATTGCGTCTCACCCCTGAAGAGGGCAGTCTTTTCTCCTCAGGGTTAGGCCTCAGGGGTAAAGCGCCGTACAGCCTAACACCTCGATCTCCTACACCGTATCTGCTCTGAGAGATGGAGAAAAGAGGAGACAGAGAGGAGAGAAAAACAGAGGACAACAGGCCCAACTTAGAAGAGTCTCAGAGGAACAAAAAACACAAACCACAGAAGACAATCATCATCACTAATCAAAACATCAGCAATAACAAACAGGATTTCTGTGGTGCTTTCCCTCACTAAAATGATACTAGGCCGGATGTTTGCTATGCAGAGTGGTTGCTAGGGTACTCCAGATGGCTTTAAGTGTGTTACTATGTGGTTGTCAGAGTGTTGCTATGCAGTTGCTTGTGTTCAGAGTTGTTGCTAGGGTGCTCCAGATGGTTTTAAGTTTGTTACTATGTGGTTGTCAGAGTGTTGCTATGCAGTTGTTTGTGTTTAGAACGGTGTTAGTGTGCTCCAGATTATTTTAAATGTGTTGCTATGTGGTTTCCAAGGTGTTGCTATGCAGTTGCTAGGGTGTTCAGAGTGACTTTTAACATGTTTCTATGCAGGTGTTTGTGTACTGAGTGGTTGCTAGGGAGCTCCAGATGGTCTGTTGCTATGTAGTTGCTAGGGTGTTGTTATCTAGATAAGGCTCAGGTCCCTCCTTCAATGTACATCTATGGGATTTTTTCACCTGTTTTATCATCCAGCAGGTGTAAATTGTACATCGGAACTGTAATAATACTTGGTGTCTAGGCTTTGATCACATTACTATCAGCACTAGTACTAGAGATGATTGACTTAAACGCCACTAACAACATATTGTGCTCAGCAGGAATAATGACATATGAACTGATTTCAGTCAGTCATTCTGGCCTCTTCCCACTGCGTGTACATGTATCAGTGTGTGTGTGTGTGTGTGTGTGTGTGTGTGTGTGATCTCCTCTGTCCCGCTCTGTGTGTGAGGCTTGTTTGAGGAAACGCTCCCGGCAGGAGTTTTGGCAGTCTAGGTTTTGGGAATCGGAGCAATCCAACATCTAATGATTCACACAAGAGAGTGTGCCAGACACACACACAATCATATTAAACTAGAGTAGTGTACTTGTAGTGTACACTGCTGTCTATCAAATGACCCAAGAGAAATATTACAAGAGGATGATGAAATACAGCCTCAGGCTCATTAACAAAATACCATGGTAAACGTACAAGATAATACCACAATATTCTTTGAAGTACCATGGTATATGAACAGCGCTTGTACACGTATCTGTGTGTGTGTGTGTGTGTGTGTGTGTGTGTGTGTGTGTGATCTCCTCTGTCCCGCTCTGTGTGTGAGGCTTGTTTGAGGAAACGCTCCCGGCAGGAGTTTTGGCAGTCTGGGTTCGGGAATTGGAGCAATCCAACATCTAATGATTCACACAAGAGAGAGTGCCAAAAACACACACACACACAGTACACACAGAGACATATGAAACTAGTGTAGTGTACTTGTAGTGCACACTGCTGTCTATCAAATGACCCGCGAGAAATATTACAAGCGGATCATGAAATACGGCCTCAGGTTCATTAACAAAATACTATGGTAAACGTTAATACCACAGTATTCTTTGAAGTACCATGGCATATGAACAGTGACTGATTAATGTAAATAAATGTAATCAGGATTACGTAATCAGATTCCAAAAATGTAGTACTTGTAATCTGATTATATTATGTTTTAAAAAGTTCATAATCAGATTACAGTTACTTTCTATGGATTACATGATTACAAATTATTCACAATTTCAAACGTAAAAAATTTAGATCATAAAGTAATCTATAAGTAATCCAAAAGTAATCAGAATACATTATCTAAAATGAGTAAACTAATTACTAATGTCAATTTTTTTATCATGCAATTTGTAACCAGTAACAGTAAGTAATCTACCCATCACTGTGTATGAATATGGGAAAGACAAACTAGGTAGGTTGTTTATTTTAAATACACATACATACAAATAAAGTATCAAACATGTTTTTTCTTTGGACATGCACATCTCAAAGTACCATGGTCAATCTCTTTTAATTGCATTGCCAAAAATAAACAAGTTTGATGTCAAATCTTTCCTCACACTAATCTATGACAACCATTCTCTCTCAGCCAGTCGACTGTCTTCAAAACGCAAGCAAACCCACACGTGAAGTGACTGAAGCACTGGATGAATCTGCATATCACTGTAAATCAGAAAGTGCTGTATGACTAACAATATGCTGTCAAGTAAATCCAGAGTGCCGTATTTAGCGCGGTGAGAATGTCCCTCATCAGATGTGGCAGCTCGGGGCGGCCGCGATGACTGTGCCACTAATTGCCCAGACAGAGTGAAGGGATCGTGGGATGTTGTCATCTACTTTTCTTTCTTTTTCTCTGATTTGTATCTCTCTCATCACTGCAGCTAAACGTAGACACACAGCAGGGGTTTTCTGCACCTTGTGTCTTCCTGTTAACCACTGCACGTGTCCGTAATCGATGTGCCCTTTACTGCAAACTTTACTGTAACCCGTGGGTGACTTGAGGGGGCATTTCTGAATGTCTCGACCGATCAGATCCCAGAATGATTGTGGTTAAATCCCTTGCTTGACTGGAAGTTGAGTTTAAAATAAAAGGCTCATGGATAAACATTAGTAGTTGACATGATGTTGTGTATTTCTGCTAGCTTAGCTAGCTTGTGATGTGGCTATGAATACATGAAGACACATACAAACACGTGCAAAAAAATAATAAAATAATAATAATAAATGCCTAGATTAGATACAATTATCTAAAAACTGGCCTAAAAAAATTTGATTAAAAAAATGCCTTGACAACTAGATGAATTAAAATTAAAATAAATGTGACCCTGGACCACAAAACCAGTCATAAGGGTCAATCTTTTCTAAATTGAGATTTATACATCTCAGCTTTCCATTGATGTATGGTTTGTTAGGATAGGACAATATTTGGCTGAGATACAACTATTTGAAAATCTGGAATCTGAGGGTGCAAAAAAATCTAAATATTGAGAAAATCATCTTTAAAGTTGTCCAAATGAAGTTCTTAGCAATGCATATTACTAATCTAAAAATTAAGTTTTAATATATTTACGGTAGGAAATTTACAAAACATCTTCACGGAACATGATCTTTACTTAATATCCTAATGATTTTTGGCATAAAAGAAAAATCAATAATTTTGACCCATACAATGTATTGTTGGCTATTGCTACAAATATACCCCAGCGACTTAAGACTGCTTTTGTGCTCCAGGGTCACATATGACAATAATTTAAACTTAAAAATAAATTAAAACTAAATAGAAATATAAAAAACTAATAAAAATGACAAAAGCACATAAAATTACAAAAACTTATAAACTGAAAACATAAAAAAAGTTAATTCATGATACACATTGTGACATTACGGTACATAAATAAAGCTAAAATAATGCTGCATAAGAACAGGAACATGTATATAGAGAGGTCGTGTAAACATGCAATGCGGTGTTAAATATAAAACCGCTGACGTTGAATCTTTCTAACATGCTAGTGAAGGAGAGAGGACATTTAAAAACAAACAATCAAGACAAAATCCGCATTAAAGAGAAACGCAAAGCACCAGCTGCTTGATGCAAATGTCCCTAAACCGCAAGACCATTACTGCAGTTTGAATATTGGATATTATTACAATGCAAATTGCATAGGCCAGAGATTAAGTTGCAATTACGGCCTGAAAAGCATCAAGACCGGTGGAATGATTCTATTTCAGGCGCTGCGCACTGGGCTTCAGAGAGTAGGGATGTACTTAGTAATATTAAATATGGTATAAAATACTAGGTGGTGTGGCTGGGTACTAAGTGTGTGTGTTTAAGTGATCATACCAAACACTTAACGCTGCTCAATAAATTAACTCGACCAGCAGGAGAATAAATGTCAACCCTGCGGTGGATCTCAATACATAAACCAACCGTTCAGCCAAACGTGAAGATCCTCATGTCATTCCAAACTCATGTTATTTTTGTTTGAAAAACGTATTCACTCATAGTGACCAAGTCTGTCAAGCCCAAAAAGGCTAAAAATACCACACAAGTATCGTAAAAGTAGTCATCGTGACTTCTGTGCTATATATATAATTAGAATAACTCTTCTGACTCAAATGTAAGATACTTTTATGATGTTTTTGGCTCTATATGCTTTCATTGCATGGAAAAGAGCAGCGTGAGTAACAGGATCTTCATTAGTGGGTGAACTTGTCCTCTAACTGTAAGTTCTGTCCAGTGTTTTTCCGTCTGTGAGTCATAAAACATAATCAAAACAAACTAATATAAAAGAGGGCGAATGATTATAAATGAGACAGAAACGGATCCGTCTCTGGGTTTCTTTCTCTTTGGAGTGATCGTTAGATTTCTCGTTAGTCTCTCACAGATTCTGTCTCATTATGTAAATAGGGGGAATTGTTTTTCGGGTTATGTGTGTGTGTGTGTGTGTGTGTGTGTCTGTGTGTTTAATTAGGATAACACAGAAAAAATGGGAATGCTGTACACCTGCAAGACAATAAAAGATAAACACACGCACACGCACACACACACACACACACACACACACACTCACACACACACACACACACAGGTCATTACCAGGATTTGCCAAATTTCTTAACATTTTCTGAGCTGATTTTGTGGGAAAATCTGCACAATTCTAAAAATGAATTCAAACATGGTCAAATAATGCTGAATATTTATTGCGCTATAATACATGATAGCTATAATATTTCATAAACTTTTACCTGATCCGTTAACACTCACTCATTTCTGAATCACAAAAAAACTCCAACAGATGTTTGAGATTCAAAACATAATGTCTGATGTTAATCAGTTAAGATTTGGCAATTAATAGTTAATTAAACTACACACTAACTGAAACCCTAAAATCTTAAAAAATTCTTTCATTTGCAGTTAAAAAAAAACCATTTTGAATTATTATTAATCATTATTGTAAGTTATTTTTCCAACTAAGCACATTACTGGATGTCCCTGAAATTTGTCAGATTTAGCTCAAAACTACAGTCAAATAAACCCATACACACAGTCTGCATTATTTCTGTAGGACGGTGATGTTTAT